AGATTGACTGCTGATAGAGAGGCATGCAGTGGTTAAATGCAAGGACTTTAAATTATTTGAATCCAGACCCCACTACTTACTTGCAGTATATTTTTAGAAAGTAATTTATCCCCCTGGACTCAGTTTCCTAATCTGGGAAATGATGACAATAAAAATGCCTGTAGGTAATGTACAGATGTGACTGTTACATGAGTTAGTCTAACTATGGAAGACTCTTCAGAGAAAATTTTAAAGGTTTTAGTACTTGAATTAATGAGTAGTTATATATCTTAAGTGAAAAGTCAATATACAAAAAGCTCACATCCGTTCCAATTAATTTACATATTTAATGTAAAACTAAGATAAATTATGAATAAATCTGAGAAATTTAGTAAAAAAATTATGCTAAAATGTATGCCCAAAGCAAGAACCCTAAAAGGCGTGTCAGTGCACCTGCCCACAGTGGCAGGAAGCTTACTCTTCTCCTCTTTCCAAAAAGCTAAGGTAGGATGAAAGGATGGTGAGGTTCAGATTATGTGAGGACATCCTACGACCAGCACTCAGGCATAGTCCAAGTTTCACGGAACAGATCCATCGTCTGCACTGGGTGGGGCTATGGAGAAAGGTTAATGGCAGAACCGACCATACAGGCAACCACTCTAGTGAGGTGTTTATTGCTAGGCTGACACTGGGCAAAGACCATGAAAAGGTCCTTGAAGTAAAAGCCAACTTTTCTAATTAGGAAAGAAAAAGAGAAAATATAAAGAAGAAACAGTTAAGGAGATTCAGGAATAAAATAATCGTGTATCTGGCTTTCTCTTCTCCTCCTTCCTTTCTGCTTCCCTTCTTCCTCCTTTTCTTTCTCCCATAGGGTTTCCCACTGTTGGCCAGGCTGACCTTGAACTTCTGGGCTTTCTGCCCCAGTGTAGCTAGAACTACAGTCTGTGCAACGATGGTCAGCTATTCCTGATAAATAAACAAGTTCACAGTCATAGGCCCTGAACAGAAGGCCTTGAACTCTATGTGTGGTGCTGTAACTTAGGACAGCAGCCCATCCTAGGAAGAAGGGAATGGATGGGGTTTTAAACCACAACTGTAGACATGCAGTTAGCACTGTAGATGTTAGGACCCTTCAGGGCATAACAAGGACTTTGCTTTCACTTTTCTTGTCATTCCAGTCCGTATCTCTCCTTAAGTTTGAGCACAGGAACTGATGCCTGAAAGACACCAGACTACTGGGGATCTAGTATGGCTCTAACCTTGAAAATTGTTTTATCAGAGGTAAAAAGAGGAGTTTATATTCCTTGTTACACACTGAGACCCAGCATGACACACCCAGGAACCTGGTTCTATGGAGCTCTTTCTTCTTTGGTGACAATCGTCTCAGAGGCGAAGGAAAAGTAATGAGTGACTTGAACTGTACAAGGCTTTGGTTCTGAAGGAACTTAG